ACACACGAGTGAGAATTGCCTGCTTGTTAATGGACTAGGCTAGTTCTGTTGCTTCACATTTTATAAAATTATGTGTTTGTTACGTGACTGCCTCCCACACTTGCAGCTGTATTACAATAGGACCTGTTCCTTCTTCATGCAATGAACGGCTGTGCAGTTTTGTTGCACACTGCTCCACAAGTTCATAGGTGGCCGAGGTTTTGCTTAAGTGGGTTTAGCCTTGAACACATCGCTCTTGAATTCTTTATGGGCTTCCTTGCGCTTCTAAGATGTGCTTAGGAGGATGCTTCTTTGGTTACCTGTTTCTGTTACAGAGAACAAGTCCCTGAAAAGCAATGAATGTTACCAAGAGGAAAATGATAATAAGTGAGTGGCAACTCTGCAACAAATAAATGGTAATAGTGACCATATTAATTTCCCATCCTGTTCCTTAACATATAAAGAAAATACACTGACAATGGCATAGCGCTGAGCGTATGACAGATGAGGACATTCATCCTTATTTTTTCTCTGAATATGGGTTGTTTTCATTCAAAATCTCATCACTTATTATGGTAGCTGGTACACATTCTAAAGCATGAATATAAAGCCAGCAGTTTCATTCAGGAATGAGTAACTAATATCTAAGTGACATAAAAGTGAAGCAATGTTAGTGAAGTAATTAGACACTAGTTTGTAGAAGAGGGCAAAGAGCTGTTTAGATAATTAATGGCTTCAGTAATTAGCACTTTTGTGACTAAACAGTATCAGTATTCTTGAATACTTTCTTGAAACTCTCTAAAAGGACTTGCATTTCTTTTTTTTTAACTGTAATTTTGATTTTGGAAATATAGTTGATAATTTGATTTGAAAAAAAAAAAGAAAAAAGCCAGATAGCTTTGAAATAAGCAGAAATACATGCATATGGTTTTGGACCAACTAGGAAACAGTGTTTCTTCATTTCACTGGAAGGCTCACAAAGTTTATTTTTGGGGAGTATTTGGCAGGTTCCACTACATAGTGCTATGCACCATCACAAGGACTGGGGATTAGAAAAGCAGCACTGGCAAGGCCAAAATCCAGGAGTTTCATGGACTTCTGCAAAGGAGACAGCCTTTTTCTTTAGGATGCTTTTTGCTTATGTTAGATCCAGGCCTTATTAGTTATGAATTTGTTAATAGCATCTCAGTGCTGAGCTTCATAAGCCTTATTCAAAAAAGAAAAAAAAAAAAGAAAAAAGGAAAAACAAATAAAAAAAAGAGTGAGATACCTGAATCTATACTTACAAAAGTACTAAGCAACTAAGCAGGTTGGGCACCTCACTTCCTGTAAGTGATTTAGGTGCCTGCTTCCAGTGCTTCAGCCTTCAGTTAGGTACTTTTGAAGATGCACCAAGCATCTTTGCCACCTAAATACCTGACTGTCAAGACCAAACATTGCCCTGACTTTTATGGATCGTCAAGGCAGTAACCCAGGTACACAGACTGCTAAGTTTTCATCAGGAAACACGTGCTCTAATGATAGGAGCCTCTCAACTGGCAGTGGTACCTTCCTGGCTAAACCAACCTTCTGAGCAGCAGGTTGGCCGATGAGTCAGATCAGAAGGTCAGAAAAAGGGAAGTCCTCAGACAGAGGCTGAGAAGTGGCAGGGAGGTGGAAGATTTCTTCTTGTTGGAGGACTTCTCTGTGGGTACTCCTGGATAAATTTTAGTATTGTTTTTTTTAATTTTAACTCACAAAGATAACACCAAGTGGGATAGACTCCACCAAGCAGAACTTCTTATAAAACTGGAGGATGCCTGCAATGCCAAGGTTTTATTGCTCTTCTAATGCTGGTGTGTAGTTGTTGTTTCTTATTAATTAGATGAAACTAATTGTGGATGAAGGATATCTAGAAGAGAGGATAGGGACATAGATAAAGCGGTAGAAGAAAAAGGGCTAGTGCTAGTTTTGCTGAAATGTTTTCTTAACAGAAAACCCATTTGCCAAAGGTTCAAAGCCACTGTGATGATGGTTTGGAAGAAAAAAAAATAAATTGAAATGCACTTGACAAATCAGAAAGAATTTATTGCAGAGAAGTACAAGTTTAGCTTTCCAGTATTAATTTGGTTTTGAATGTGTATAGTTCTTAGTTGTTTCGTTAATTACTTTTCCCAGTGGCTGCAGTCCCTTCCTTCAGTAACTGAGGGCAGCTGCCGCCGTTGGCACGACTTCTCTCCTTCCTACCACACCTCCGGCTGCTCCAGTCCTGCGCACCGGCACGCAGGGCTTCTGCGCTTCGAGACCAATAAAACAAAAACGAAATCACAGGCTTCGGCTTTTTGTAGTGAAAGCTGACGCCGAAAACGAAATATTTTCAAAAAGATTTGTTGGAAGTATCCAGGTAACGATCTGAAAAGGTCGGGGTCGGCTGGGAGACGCTTCAACAGGTTGACCAGCCCGAGCGGAGCTGAGGGGCCGGGCGCTGCGGGGACACGGAGGGGGCGACACCGCTGTGCGGGGCCGTCCCGGGCGGCTCCCCCGGCACCTGCCGCCCGGCCGGGGGCCGAGATGGCGCCGGGGCTCCTGAGGGGCCGCGGCGCCTGAGGGGCGGGGAGCGGGCGAGGCGGGATCGCGGCCGGCTCGAGGCGGCGGCGGCGGCTCCGTTCGCCCCTGCCGGAGCTCCGGGAGATTGAAGAGCAGCAGCTCCGCGCCCCCGCTCGGCCCGGCCCGGCCCAGGGAGCAGCAGGTGGCGGCGGCGGCGGCAGCAGCGAGGGAGTTAACGGCGTGGCGGCGGCGGGAGGGCGCTGAGGAGGAGCGGAGCCGGGAGGAGGGGGACCGGGGAGCGGGCGGCAGCGGCAGGAGGGGGACTGAGGAGCTGGCGGCGGCAGCAGCCGGGTTGCTAGGGATGGAGAGATCCCGTGTCACCCGGATGTGAGTGTCATGTTGGCCCAAACTCGGAGGGATTTGGCAGCGGCAAAGCAGCGGCGGCAGCAGCAGCAGGAGGAGGAAAAGCCCCTCGCGCGTCGCTAGTCACTACCATGGGGGTCGGGTAGCGGGAGCGCAGGGGCAGCGCACACCTGGCTCGGGGTGGGTGGGGGGCGTCTCGGCCCTTTTTTTTTTTTTTTTTTTTTTTTTTTTCTTTTTCCTCTCATACGCTGGAGAAAGTGAGAATAATGCACCACCACCAGCAGCAGCCGCCGGAGCAGCACCCAGAAGGTAAGAGCCAGCAAGGGCAGCGGCAGCAGAATGCCCGGAGCTGAGGGGAGGGGGGGCAGCGGGGGAGGATTTGTGAGGGATTTGGGAGACGGGGATTAGGGAGGGGAGGGGTGAGGATGGGGCAGGTTTGGGGTGGGGAGAGGACCGGGAGACGGGGGGGAGGGGGCAGGAGGCGAAGACGGGAGGGATCGGGGTGCCGTCGGGGCTCGGGGGGATGCGGCTGTTGGGGGCACATCCCCCGCAGCTGGGTGTAAGGTTTAATTTACTACCCCGGGGTAGTAACGTGGAGGTGGCAGGGATGCAGCGGGACGAAAGAACCCGAGGGATGGCTGCGCGGATCGGGGGGTTGTTTGCGCCGAGCAACGTTTCGTAGCATCCCGGGAGGCAGGCGGGGGGGAGATGTCTGTGCCGTTGCTTTTTTTTTTTTTTTTAAAAAAAAAAAAAAAAAAAAAAGAAAAAGAAAAGGACTCCAGTGATAAACGCCGCGATGGACACCACCGCCCCCGAGGAGCCGCGCTGCCTTCGGGCAGCCCCAGGTGCGGGCGGGCAGCTCTGCCCCGCTGCCGCCGGCTGAGCTCCGGCCGGGAGCCATCTTAGCGCGCCCCCCGCGGCCGCCCCTCGCGCAGGCAGCGGCCGAGGCCGAGGCCGAGCCTGGGGACCGGCGGCGTGTGAGGGGCTGAGGCAGCCCCGGTCTGCTCTGCCCCCGCCGGGGAGGCGGCGGGAGGTGACCGGAGGGCTGGGCTGGCGAGCCCCGAGGCTCCGCTGCTCGGCGAGCGGCGGTCGCTGGGGAGGTGTTTTCCCCTCCTGCCCGGGTAGCTGGATGCGTGTCGCCGCCGTTCCGCCCGTCAGCCCCGGTTCCCTGCGCGGATGCTGTGCCGTTCTTTCATTTTTTCCCCACCCAGGCATCTTCAAGTTTTGGGTTTGACTTAGGAGCGTCTCCTTCCTACAGGTGCATGTAGGAGGAGGCTCTGCTGCTCTAGTCAGGCAGCTCGCGAGGAAAGAGCTGTGCGAGGAGGTGTTGTTTTGCCTGCTTTGCTGTCATCCGGGATAAAAAAAAGGCCTTAAAATATTATTTAGAAGGTGCGATTTATTTTGTGACACCTCGTGAAAAAGCAGAAATAAAATAAAATTCCTTTACAGTAGTTTGATGGGTGTAATTTCTGGCGTGCAAGATAGCAGAGCTTTATGAACATATTTACCACCAGACAATATTATGCTTTCCTGTGTGGGAGGCATTTTTCTGTGAGAATACAGAACAGTGCGAAATTTAACTTGCTTACAGGACTTCTGGGGTTTTATGTTTTGGGGGAAGAGGTGTACACTTGGTTGTTCTTGATTGAAAAACGTGCAAGGATTTTAAATGACTACTCCTTCGATCAAGATGAGGTGAGGAAATAGTAAATGCTGAGGCACCACAGCCCAGTTGGTCATTAGGAGGAGGTGTGTTTTACTGCATTATCGTGCTGACAGAAGAGCTGCCATCCGGTTCGTGAAGGAAAAAAAAATAAGGAAGAATTAAAATGTCAAGTGTTTGTGTAGCACTTGCCTTGATACTTAGGTTAAACTTGAAATAAATGCTGGTTCCTGAGACCTTTTGGCTACTGTTGAATCATATATATACACTCATATCTGTATATTCAATCATGTATGTATGTACGCATACATACATACACATGTGCATATACTTATGCTCTATAATATACATAATATAAGCATCACACCAGCAAGAGGTCTTAAAATAATCTTTTCATCAAAAACACTGTGACACATTCTAGCATAAAAAGTTATAAACAAGTACTTTTTTTTTTCCGTTTCTCTCACAGAGGCGAACTATGCAAGTAGCACCAGAATTCCTCTCCCTGGTGACGGACCAACTACTCAGTCAAACAGTTCAGCACCATCCAAGCAAACTGTTCTGTCTTGGCAAGCTGCAATTGATGCTGCTAGACAAGCAAAGGCTGCCCAAAATATGAGTACCACCACAACCCAGCCTGTAGGATCTCTGTCCCAAAGAAAACGTCAGCAATATGCCAAGAGCAAAAAACAGGGTAATACGTCTAATAGTCGGCCACCCCGTGCCCTTTTCTGTTTATCCCTCAACAATCCAATACGAAGAGCCTGCATTAGTCTAGTAGAATGGAAGTATCCTTTGATGCAGTTTCATTTTACTGTCTGTTCCTTGAGTTTTCCAGATAGATAAAGGAATTGTATTGCCATGTCTGATAGTGTCACAGCTAGTGACAGTTAGTTCACTTAACTCTGTGTGGGTAACACTCATTAACGTTAATGGTAGTTAATTTTGTGTAAATTGCTGTTAATGATAGCCTCTTAATCCGTGTCATAATGATGTAGAGTATTGTTTCATTAAAGTAAGTACTTCAAAGACAGGGAAGAGTTCATAGCGGTTCATTTTTTCTTAGGGGGAGAGGGGAACACATTCTGAACTTAACTTTTGGCATTTGCAAGCTTATGTTATGTTCCATCAAATCTCAATATTGAATTCATTGCTCTTCCAAATAAGGCTGAATAGACAGGAGTACATCTAGTGGTTTTAATTGGGAGATGACCTTTGACCTAAGATGTCAAACCCATATCTTCTATATAGTGGTGAGGTGTTAGGGCCAATGAATGTAGATGTAGAATGAATGCAGAAGTTATTTCAAAATGATGTTTTCCAATTGCTAAATGCAAGGAAGGCTTTTAGCTAAAATACAGATTCACTGTAATTACATATGAATGCCTGAACATTTACAACATACATGTATGTCTGCCACCAAACATTTGGAAGCTTGTCCAGCTGTAGATTCAGGATCAGATATACTGGCATGTGTTCATGATTTGAGTGCTTGGAAGAATTGCTTTATCTTCAGTTCAGTGGTTCTGATTTGGAAGAATGTGGATTTCTTTGGAAGAACAAAGAGCATGTAGATTTGGTATATTTTTTAATTCTCAAGAAAAAGTTTGAAATAGAGAATGAAGCTTTGTTGAAGTACAAGGATAAAAACACTTGCCTGTTAGTTGTGGCAATTTCCCTGTAGCAAGAGAGAGCTATTTACAAGAGTAGACTAACAAAGTAAAATTCATTTTGTTATTTTAAGCAGCACAACCAACCACTTTCAGTAGGAAATATTTCTCATTTATAGGGCTTTTTTTTTGTTGTTGTTTTTTTTTCTTTTTTCCCAATTCTTTGAGCTTAATTAAAGATAATGAAACAGATTCCACTTTCATTTACACTGGTAGAAGTCCAACTAATTTCAGTAAATCGTCATCTCCTTGGCTAAGGTCAGTGAAATGAAATTACTATGGGTCTAGAGTGGAATAACTCAGGGCAGAATTTGTCCTGCTAGCACTGTATCATAAAACAAGCTTGTCAGTCTTGCACTGATATTGTCCATTTCAGTCTGGAGAACACTGCTTTTTGAGATGTGTATTCTAACTTTATTTTGTAATGACTGTTGATGTTGATGGGCTTTTGTGAAGGTAAACTCAGCCCTTGAGTTTACAAACTGAGATGTCAACAAACGAAATTTACAAGATCTTAAAGGGCATGTGAGCTTAATAGGTGTTTTCATCATAAAAAGTCTATTCTAAATTGACAAAATTGTTTTTGAGGAAACAAAATTATATGCAGTGCTCTTTGCTCAATCTTTTATGGAAATTTTATGGACATATATGAGGAAGCTGTGCACTGAAATGGGAGGGGGGGGGAAAGTCAAGTCCCAAATGCTTTGTTTACAAACTTCCAAAAGTAGTTTTATCTGAGTACCCCCATATTTTTAACTAGAAGAAGATAATTAAATATTATTCAGTGAAAGGCAAATCGATGATAAGCTGGAGAATAAACTTCATAAGGCTGAATTTTAAGAAATGCCTTTCTTTTCCTGGAGGAAAAATATCTCCAGATTTCAACTGTATTCATCTAGACATGTTGTTAAAAATGTAGCTGTAGTTCCTGCCATCCCATGTGAAAGCCTAAAGCCTCCCAGTATGTATGGCTGCCAAGACAGCAATGACATTCTCTTAGCCAGTCTACTCACCTAAACTTTCATTGGTTCTGGCCAAAGCAAAACTGTTCAGGTGTTCAGCTGTCCAAGACATGAAAGGGGCTCAGAGTTTTCTGTGTGCATTATACAACATTCCAGCTCTCTACAGGAGAACAGTTGTGATTTGTTGGGAATCATTCTCATCTTACTATGAACTAGATACCAAATGATTTTCTTCCTTTGGATAAACACATTTCTGTTAGTTAATGAGACTTAATGTTAGCATATGAAGACAAAATAGCTCCATAAATATTCCTTATCTAGCATGTTAACCTGCATATTGATTTAAGAGTATGTAATTAAATTAATCTCTAGAACTTAATAAAAAGCGCTCTGTGGCAGCAACAGTAAGTCTTCTCCCCTTTGCAGAAAAGAGCAGCATGTTGAAACATCAGTGTGATGGAAAATAATATGGTGTAGTGATATAGCTGGAGGTGATTGAGTGTTTGTCACAGTTATCAGTCAAAAGATTGCCTGAGACCTAAGACCTGTTTGAGTGTTAGAACTGAAAAAAGAGCTAGGCTTGAAAGTTAGTAGGCACTTAGAATTCATGGATTCCTTAACAGGATTTTCCAGACCATTTGACATATTTATACTACTGTCTATTTTTGCCAATTGTGTGGCCTTAGCTGTTTACATCCCATTCCCAGAAGATGATTCTAATTCAACTAATCATAATTTGGTAAGTACTCTTGAATTTTTGTTTTATAATGATGTTCTTTTATCTTGATGGTCAAGATTAGTTGCTAGTGTTTGAGACTGTATTAAGTGTAACAATTTCAGTCAAAAAACTGGTATGCAGTGATACTTTGGAATAAAATATATCCAGAATGTGGAATTGTTTTATTTTTAATGTGTTCCCTTATGTCATATCTTTAAAACCAGATACTTTTCAGCAGTAAAATTATTTGGAAGAGAATGTAAATTAATGTTATACCGTGTGTGTATAGAGGTATGGTATTAAAAACCTTGATTTAAATTTCTGTTGTTTTAGACATGCCTTTTTCAGTCCTTCTGAAGTTTTACTGTCTTTCCTAGTATGCTTATCTAATCTATTTTCAATTTTTAATGGTGTTATTTAGCTGTATATATTATTAGATGAGAAGAGAATGGTGGGAAACTTTACAGCAATACATTTTGAAGTGATAAGAATAGCAACGTGAATTTTAAAAGCAGTTACTTCTAAGTGTTTTTTAAAGAGGATGATATTGCTGTACTTTGTAGAGCTGTATTTCTTCCATTAAAAATAGTATACCTGTGTTGTACTTGAAAATATTATGTAAAATATTTTCCTTTTAGTTGCTATTTTATTAATTTATAATTAATATGTTATTAATTAATTTAATTAATCAATCAATTTATTTATTAATTAATTTATTAATTTTATTAATAAGAGGCTATCACTCTTAAAGGTGATTTGAATTTACATTCGAGTGGTTTCATCGTTTACATTAAAAGATATTTTGAAATAGTAACTAGACCTCAGCAATCCTTTGAGTTCTCAAAGTCTATAGGACTCATTTTTTTTTGAGCCGTGGTTGGGAGGGTGTCTTCAGAACAAAAATTGGATGCCAGATCAGTAAGTAGGTAATTTTGGACTACTTTGGATGGAAAATTTATGCTGATATGAGGTTTTCTATTTTTAGAGATGTTTGTGCATTGTGTGGTGTGTAAGATTAATTACTTTTTTGGGGGGGGGGGGGGAGGCGGGGGATGGGAAGGGGGGAACCAACCACATTCTATTCATATGATCCATTGAATATATTTTTGTTCATCAAGATTAAGCATCTATGGATGACAAAAAAAATATGCTAGCGAAAGGCAGAATAATTCAGGTCAACGTAAAGAATTATTTATGCAGCTGTGTATCTAGCCAGCCAACAGTCTTATCTCTCTTAATTTTCCCCCCTCTGTGAGAAATTGAGGGCACAGATCTCAATAGCTGCCAATCCAACAAGAGATTTGGTAATAACAACTTTCAAAAAGCATTACATGAAAAGGGTAATATAATTACTTGTGTTAGAGGCTAATCATTTTGAAATAAATGTTTTTAGCATTAGTTTTGTTAGGCTGGTATCTGACCTAATTCTGCAATGTGTTAGCATTTAGAAAGCAATGGACGTTTTTGTCCCTGATGTTATTTTAACTAATGTGAACAGGTTGGTTTAAGCAAAAATACATTACCTTTGTATTTTTTTTGTTATTTTATTTTTTAATAAGAGTTCTCTATCTATTTTAGGAAAAGAGGTCTTGAAGACCTCTAAGTGTACATATGGTTTAGAATTTGGCCATTTAAATTTGCCTCTTGTTAATTTTAAGTAATTCCACTAGGCTTGCTCAAGTACTGCCATGTGCTGGGGCAGACTTGAGCCAGAAAAGGGAATGTACTGACACATCCTGTCTACCTGATGTAATAAATTACTCTGGCAGAAGCAGTGTTGTCTTTCCTTATGACTAGGGTTATACATCATGAAATGCACTAACCATTGATCTGTGTCCTTGTATCTTTCTCAGGTATTTTGCTGACATTTTTTCTCAACTAGTGTAGCCCAACTTCCTTTGTTAAGCCAGTACTTTGGATTCAAGTATGATGTGAAACACGATCGTATAAGATAACTTAGAAATCTTCAAGCTTAATTGGGAACCAGTTTGAGCATGTTTCCTGATGTGTGTGGATCAGAAATGTGGAGTTATATTCTGAATGGACTGTGCTTGGCCACTGTCACAGGTGTGACAGTTCTGTGTTCCGTGGGAAAACGTATCCAGAAAGCAGTCAGAAACACTTTGATGTGTTTCTTCTGTGTTCTGGGAGAGGCAGGAGAAAGAGATCTACTATTCCTTGAATGGAGCAGTTCTGTCATTATGGTCTGTTGTGCACAGAGTACTATACAGACTAATGAGCTTCCAAGAGTTATTGAACTTGGTCCCTTATTCTACTTAACTGAGTAAGCACTGACCAATTGACATTTTCACAAGTTGGTACAGTTCTTCTGCAAGTAGTTTGGAGAAACTATTATTGATCTGGGAAACTTTTTCTTTTGCTGCAGCAGGAGGATAGGGCCAGTATACTCTGGGCTGAATCCTCATAAGCCCACTATTTCATTCGGAGTTAGATGTATTTTTTTTTTATCTGCCTTGAAGTTTCAGGTGATCTGAACTTTTCATGTTTGATTCAGCTCTTCTTTTGGCAGTGTCTCTTGTCTGCACTTGATAAGAAGCTGTTTCTGGCAGGATGAATTTCCTGTATATTTCTTCTATTTCTGCCTTTTCTGCCTTTTTTTTTTTCCCCTCATCTGTTTTATTTATTTTCATGCCTTTTGTCTTCAACTTCCCGCTTATTTCTGTTTCTCATTATCTTTTGTCTCTGCCCTCTGTCTTCCTTCTGTGTTTACTCTTCCACTTGGCCTCTTCTGCAGCATGCTTTGCTCTATCTCACTCTCCTACCTCATTTTTTTTCTTGTATCATCCTGCTGTACCATGTTCTGTTCTCTCAGACTGTCTTGTGCTTTGCCTCCTACTTACTTGGGTAGGAGGCAATCTAACCCATGGGTTAGATTAGCACCATATTTTACTCTGCAGTATGCAGGCAGACTGGCACAGCACAGGTAGGGATTTCTCCTGTGACCAAGACATTGAGACATCTTTGGTTATTATTATTTTTTTTGAAGTGTGAACAATAAGGTGTCCATGCTGAGTCTATGAAAAATAGAGCACTGAAGTTTGAGTTGTTTGCATCTCTTGTGTCTAGACTCCAAGAGTTTTCACTGGTGAGACTGTTCTACTTGAAGAGATTCAAGGCTCCCATTTTGAGGGACTTGCACATATTGCAGCAAATTGGCAAGTGCGAAGTCACATACACAAGGGGCTAACGGGAGCCTATGAGGTCCCCATTGAGGGACCCTAACGAGAACTGAAGACTCTATGCCCCTGATAACAGGTTCTTCAGCCTTATTTCTGATTATGGTTGTCAATGGAGAACTCTCTTGAAAGGTGAAGTTCTGCATTAAAAGGTCTGCCCAGCCTGTGCTTACAGGGCTGGTGAGCTGATGGCCCACAACACCTCCTTTTCTTTCTCCAAACTTTTCAAGGCAGCTGGGACTGGGAGAGCCTTAGTGGGGGGACCCTGCTACGGAAAGCTACTGTTTGTAGCAAACATTTCCTCTGTAAGTAGATTTAGGTGAATCTTTCAGTGACCTCCAACAGGAAAGCCGGTGTTGTACCTGCACTGTTACTTGTGCCTTCAATCTAGGTCACAGCAGGAGAGTGCTCTGAGAAGAACCAGTGAACTCCTGACATAAGGTGTCAGGCTTCCTATCCTTATCTCATTAGCAACCCCATGACTCATTCAGTCCTCAGGCCACATGACTGACTAATCCATCCATTGACAAGGTTTTGGGATTCTACCTTGCACCTAGTTATCCTCTACATGTAGTTTATCTGACAATATTTGTGTAGAATGTTGTTGGTTTTAAACACACAGTAAATAATAAATTGTTTAATTAACAAATATTCTGTGATGTATTTTAGAAAGATTTCTACTTGTATTTATTTGCTGTGTTTTTCAGCTGAGGGAGCTTTGGGGCTTGGGTCTCTTTTTCTGTACCTCGATTACACTGGTATCTCATTTAAAAAAACAACTTGAAGTAACTGTTGTAGCAGCCTGACTTATTTTGCTCAAAATAAGTAATAAAGCTGTTGTGTTTTTAGCTGAGACTGCACATTGGTAAGTAACCTTTGTACAGCTGCAATAATTCCTTACTGGATGACACTTTGGCAAGGGGATCATTTAAAAATGCTCCACTCAGCCCTATCTTCACATTTCAATTTTCTTCTATTACTGCCAGCCCAAGCTTCCGATAGTACGCATTGATAAATAGTTATGGATTGGTTTGACTTGTTATCAGTGCAGATCCTAGTTTTCTGAACTTTTCTTTTGCTTTGTAATGGACATCCCTGCAAAGTAAAATGAAAAATTCTACATTGGTAGAATTTTGCACCCACTTTGTCCTGCAGTCACTTCTTAGGCTCTGCACTGTGCTAGTAGCATCCAACAGTGAGGTCTTCCTCATTCTTGGTAAAGAGTTGCTATATGTCAAGTCCATTTTTAATGGTAAATGAAGAAAGCTTTTACTTCATTCTCTGGCTCAGGAGAAGGGACATTTCTGGAAGAAAGATGTGAGCAAGATGACTGGCAATTTCCAGCTGGTAGAAGGGTCACCTGGGTCTGTAGCAGTTTGTCAATAACAGACTAGTTATTTTTGCAATTTTTGCAAGCCCCGATACAGCTTAGGATCTGGCTATTTCAACACAGATTAAAAAAAAGTCTATTCAGTTTGCAAGGGTAGGAAAAGGAGCTCCACAATTTAATTTTAAAGGTTTTAGTTAAAGACATTGGAAAAAAAAATAATATATATATATATATATATATATTTAAATACAGGAGATAACCATCAAATTATCCAAACCAGAAGGCCCCCCAAAAGATGTACTTAATCATTCCCATTTGAAATAAAGTTTTTTTTTTTTTTTTTTTTTTTTTTTTTTTTTTTCCCGTGTTCAAAGTTGCAAGCTTGTTCCTGTGGGGAATTCCTGCTAAGGGCTTGTCTCCTTAAAAAGATTTGCTGGTAGTGCTTTACTGGCAAAATGCCTAGGGAGATGAGCATATACCAGAAAGTTCTTTTT